AATGAAAAGAAAAAGAGGTTTTGACCAAGCAGTATTTTCTCTAGCGTGTCTCCAAACTATTTGATTACTGAAACAGGCTCTTCCCGGCTTGATTTCTTCTGGTCTCATACATACTGACTTAACTTTAACCAAGAGTACAAGCTACCTCTACCAAAGATCATACCCTTCTGTCTTGCAGGAGATGAACCGGCTAGAATGAAAATGGCAGGGCCTCCAGTTGTCTTCCTTCACAGACAAGGGATGTAGGTACCAGACTGCTACAAGGAACGGGACATCACTCCTCCATTGACAAGGCATTTCAAAAAGGAGGAGAGCCATCTCAATCTTGTGATGAATTGGTATCCTTTGATTGGGGCTTTCAGAGGATTTGGAAACAACACTAAAAAAATCACTATGTCTTATGTTCAGATGCTTATAAAAAGTCAGATACAAACCAGAGTGCATCTGTGGAATGACGTTTGAAACCAATAAATCACAAAAATGTATCTTCAAAGCACAGAGTATGTTCAGGGACATTTTAAATCAATTCTTACAGTTTAGAACCAACTGTTACACAGAAAATTGAAAATGTTCTCTAAAGTTCAATTCCAAACTGCTACTGATAAAACCTACCCAGCACTTTAAGTAGAAAGATTAGCAGCCCATCTTATGAAATCTGTTTTATGAACATCAAAAATCTTTGCTGTTGATTAAAACAAATAGGGATACTGATCAATCTTTTAAAAGTAACTCCAGTTATCTATTCTCTTGTCAGCACACAGCAGCAAATAAAGAAAATGTGTACCAATTATAAAAATCACATTTTAAATTTTAAGTCTCAGGACGCTTTCTCCTTCTAAGTACTAGACTACAAAAGCATTGCTTCCAATCCCGCCACGGAACAAAGCCACAGTGAATTAATTTACTAAAGCTCATTACTCAAGCTTTAAAATTAGAACCGCCACACAGATTAGTTGGAAGCAAATTAAATTTTAGAAGTATTCATCCTTCTTTAATTTTGGTGTATACTGCCATCTACAGTTAAAAATCCAAAAAGTTAAACTCAAGAGAGATTGTTACCTTGCCTCTACTGGGATCAGATCCATAAGCTGAAGCGTATGTTCACCCCTCATGTTTGCAGACATTTTTAGAAGCTTCTGGCCACTGCAGAAAGCTTGCAGAGAACTTATACAAAAGGTTGCCTTGGATCCATATAGATTTATACATTTGTGACACAAAAACTGAATCACTACTTGGGACTTTCTTCCAAACTGAATTATATCATTAAAGATGGTATCATTAAGAAATAATAATCATTTTTCTTGTTATTTAGGAGTCTGTTCCTCTGAGTCACTTTACCAGTAGTTTTTGGCAATCACTGAGAAACATGACTTTGTGGTAAAAATACTTCAGGAAAAATGAATGATCCCCTTGTGATTAATATTTTTGATGCATACAAAATATCCATTTCTGCAGAGGCTACATAAAAGTGAACAAAAGGAGTAGGGAGCAGATTATAGACCAAAGAGCTTGGTACCATGAGCTCCAAGTAATCCTGTAATTATGTAATAATTCAGAAAATTTCTCAATAGGTTATAAAAATGATGCATCTTAGCACTTAAGATGTGAAACTTTACAACAGTAAAAGTGTACACTAACCAACTCAATAGTCTAATTTTGATGACAAGTAACAAAATGTTAAAAACCAAAAACACGTAGCACAGAAATGTAGTGCAAGGAACCAGGAACAGCACCCTTTGAGCTTCAGGGATGAGTCTTTATTAATTAAGATGGACTAACAGATTCGAGGCCTCAGACAAAAATATTCAAAGGGTTTTGGTGAAAATGAAGGCAGTTCCCATATAAAACACCTGAAACTTAGCAGGCAATTCTAGCCATAATTAAACTATGCCCTGCCTTCGGCACAAAACCTCTTACCCAGTAAGTACAAATAAAGCTGAGTATGTGTATGTTCTCTATGCTCTTAGACTGTTTTAAATACTGTTCAATTCACTACACCAAACAAAATAAACTAGGTAACTAGCATGGGGTAAAGAAAGTTCAAGAGGCAAGAGTCTTCTGTGGTAGTATTTAAATTTACCATATTTTAGATTAATTTCACATTTTATTCATATGTATCAGTAGAATGTCTCATTTTCTGTGTTAAATAACACTAAGGTTATTTTTAAAGATAGCTTTGGGCTATTTCTATGGTCAATCATCAACTGTAGAAATCTATACTTAATGGCCAAAAAAAGGGCAATGAGGGAATTACTGTTTGGCCCACCATCTACATTTGGACTTTTTTTAAAAGCAAGAACTGACGTTTTATTTGCATGAGCTAACCTCTGGTAGTATTTAAAATAGTGTCCTGGTTTCGGCTGGGATAGAGTTAATTTTCTTCCTAGTAGCTGGTATAGTGCTGTGTGACAACACACTTATTTTGGTTGTTGCTAGGCAATGTTTACACCAAGTCAAGGACTTTTCAGCTTCTCATACTGCCCCACCAGCAAGGAGGCAGGGGGTGCACAAGAGGCTGGGAGGGGACACAGCCGAGACAGCTGACCCAAACTGGCCAAAGGGATATTCCATACCATATGACATCATGCCCAGTATATAACTTAGGAGGGGCATGACTGCGGCTTGGGAACTAGCTGGATGTTGGTTAGCAGGCGGCGAGCAATTGTGCTGTGCATCACTTCTTTCATCATCATCACCATTATTATTATTACCTTCCTTTTCTGTCCTATTAAACTGTCTTTATCTCAACCTACAAGTTTTACCTTTTTTCCTCCCCCCTATTCTCCTCCCATCTCACTGCACAGAGGGAGAGAAGTGAGCAAATGGCTGTATGGTTGTTTTACCTGCGTCCTGGGTTAAACCACAACAAATGTTGACAATTACTTCATTAACATGAAATTAGGCTTCGTGTTTTACCATTGTATAATGTAATTCATACTTACAGTGGCTCTTCCTTCTCAGTTTTCTTACTGCTATGAAGATCCTCTTGTTCCTTCATTTTATCTACAGCTTGTGCTTGTTTTTCAATCTCGTTAAAGCTTTGGCTGCTCACTTTTTGTGCCCCCAAACCACCTTTTTTGGCACCGAGCTTGATTTATTGAAAAACAAAAAACAAAAGCCCCAACATTATAACTAAGACAATCACATCAACTGACTTAACAGTCAACTTTGAAAGCAACAGCAAACACTATACTCTGTTTGGGAGCATATGCAAACAACAATGAAAATTTGGAGCAGAGAAAATATTTTTTCATGTTTTGTCTACATGCTTCTTCTTACTAATTTCATTTCTTACAAATTTCATTAGCTCTGCAATCAACCATCACAGGGTAATGAAACTATTATAGTTTTAATTGTTCAGAGGTTGGCATGTTCAAATAAATATAATACATAGCATAACTTCAGTTTCTCAATAATGATTTTGTTGCATAGGAATAACATAATAAAATTTGTTGCAATGGAACTATCTGCTGCTCATTCACTTAATTCACAATTTACATTTAGAACTGGCAAAGATTCTTGAATTAGTTCTCACTGGCCAGTGCTAGTGCATTATCTGAAGTATTGATTTATTCATATTTTTAATAAACATGTGCATAGGTATTTACTCATTTATGGTAGGAGAGCGAAATACAAGTTTTATATACACGTGTATGCATGATTAGCCTTTGCATGTGACAAAGCATTGTAAACTTTTTTAGACAAACACATCAGCTGAGAGGTTCCAGTTTTGCACTCATTCTTTTAAAATCTATTTCTAGTTCATATTACTTCAATATAGGGATACATATTCTTTCATTCTGATTATCAAAGCTTTAAAAAACACTTAATAGTACAAATGGGAATAGATACAATGATGCCGATTCAGATAGTGGCACAGCACCCAAACTGCTGTTCTTAGTCTCCTATGTGTTTAATTCCTCATCTGCAACACTGCAGCAATATTAATTTTCAGAATTCATTTATTTTAACCTTTTAATGCTTTAAAATCTCCATGTAAAAGCTCTGGCCTACATACATACAGTTTTAGGTTCTGACACACAGATCACAAACTGTATGTGCACCTGTGAATGCTGTTATGTTCTTCTTACTGTAAGGGAACATACCTGCATGTACCACGTAGAGTAAGAAATTCCTCTTGCATATTAGGGCACTCTAGTGGGACTAAGAAATAATAGGTTTCAATCTAAATTCATCTGCTCCAATAAATCTTCAAAATCTTTTGCCTACAGTAGCCCAGACTTAAAAAAGTGACTCCTTGTAACTCCTTGTCACCCCAATAGCCTAGTATTAGGGCTACTTTCTTGGGCCTCAAGAGCTATACATTCAAAACCTAGCTTTTCCTAGCTAACTTGAGTTAACCTGATGGCTCTTTGAACCATCATTCTGAGATACTCAACTCTCCTCATATCTTCTTTACAGAGACCAGATGCCTAAGAAAGTGCTACAACCCCATCCAGAAACAAGTCTGGAAACTATCTTGAAACTGTCTTAAATTGAATGCAGCTGCAAGTTACCTATAAATACAACCAAATACCATACTGCTGTGTGGTATGAGATGAGGACTGCTCCAGAAATACAGATCTGAATGTCTCAAACTCACCTTGTATTGACAGATTATGCCACACATGCACATTTAGCCACTCGAAAGTGCTATTGGAACTCCCTGTGTTTTCAGGATTTGCTACAAAAAAGATCTCAGTGCCAACTAACTTAAGTGAAAGCCTGAAGAAACCCTGCCACCCAGTATCAGCAAGTGAGAAGAAAGGTTACAGGGCATCAGTGGAGTTGCAGGGACAATGCTTGTGAAAAGAACTGAAGTGGGATACAGACCTTGACATCAATGTATGCTTTGACATTTTATTCTGCTCTTCTTTAAAAAATATCACCTGCTGTTCAGGTCCAGATAGCACAAAGAAAATACACATGTGGAAGTCTAGACAGTTCATTGAGCTATATACATGTAAACAGACTTAGAATCTATCTGAGGTCAGAAAACCACCCAGAGATCTGAAGCACTCTACTACATAAAACAGTAACGTGTTAGACAAATTCATCTTAACAATAATCCATTTTCAAACAGAGCATTGGCTGTTTTCATATAGAATTGTTTTTCAATTCCATTTTAGTTTCATAAATTGTTACCGACACAAGTACTGTTTAGTGCCAACTTACATGATATATTTCCATATTGTGATCTATGTATTTCCAAAGATCTACAATATAGTTAAAAATATTCATTATTTTATACACTTACCCCCTTCTTAGCTTGATTTGGCTTCTTTTTTATGAAGGTGGTGTTCTCTGCAAGGATTAAATGTACATTACTTGACATATAATTTTATTCATTCCAGAACTGCAGAAGATAATTTCCACAACATCAACCTCAGAATAGTTTTTGGAATTTATTTTAATGCCTTGAAGTATTACAGTTTCTAAACTACAAGACTGAGATACTGAGTTACAGGGAACGGAGCTGTGAATATCTATAAGAAAATGTAGGAAACTGCCTCTGCTTGAGGATATGGTATCTCTTGCAAATATACAATAGGAAAAAAATTACAGCTCAGTTTTCAGTTGTAGATTACCTGCTAGTAAACAGAACAAGAATGCAGGACTTGCTATTCTGAATCAGACTAGAGGTCTACCTGATCCTGTACCATTTCCAAGATTGTTTCCTGATAGAAAGGTATTAGCTATGTTTAAACCCACCAATGATACAGATAAAAACATACCTGTATCATCATAAACAAAATCACAAGCATTATCAGAGGTGACAACATACTCTTATCACTAGATTGAACAGCTTTGTTCAATTGCTTAAGTACAGTATTGGGAGTCTAGCTTTATACATAAAAGTTTGAAAGTTCCAGCCTTAATGTTTTGTATTAAATCTTGAAACATAGAAATGAACCTACATTCTGCTCTGCATGAAGTCTGACACAACTCCTAATCTTGATATTTTTAATGAAACCCTAATAGGACTCCCTACATTCTGTACGGCACTGTATTGTGCCTTCTTGACAGCTACCCTGAGCCATGGTAAATCTCCAACGATCAAATGTTTTCAATCAATAACAATTATTGAATGCTTGTACATACAGAAAAACTGCTTTGAGCTGAAATTTAGTTGGAAACAGGCATACACAGAACAGAGATTCTTCACATAAGACAGAACTTGTGATGGCCAAAACAAACAAGAAAAGCACTTGTTTTATATGTGTTAAAGATACAAATGAGAAAACCAGGAAGGGTATGCCGTTAACTATTTTTCCTAGTCTCCAGCTGTCAAAAAACCAAAAACCCAACAAAAACTCCAAAAGCCAACCAAGTGAATACAAAAACAGTGAAGACCATACCTTCCTGAAGTACTTAGTCCCAGCCACCACTTCTTTACTACCTCTATGCTGCTGAGTATCAATAGTCTCTATTCTCAGAAACATGCTCTTGCAGGATGATCCTCACAATGACAACTCACTGAGGTATTTAATTCTCTTCTATTTTCTTCCATTTTTTTAACTTACTTATAGTATGATACACTCTTCAGCGTTAAGTAAATTAAGACACTTGACATTGAAAATATTGTATTACAAATACAAGATTTTTCCAGTCTAAATTTTTACGTTCAGCTTTCCGAAAAGGGAGCAAAAACTACATCTAGATAGAAAGACTGACTTATTAGTACAAGATATATTTGCTTAACATAAATAACAGGCCATTAATCACAGCACAATGCTCTTTTCCGTCTGTGTGCTTTAAATGCAGAACTTAAAGCAATCTAACAGGAGGTCTAAAACATTAATGGTCACCTTTATTAGGTGTGATATCTGTAGCACTGAAATTCATCAGGTTGGCTAAGATAAGATAGATAAAACTAGAACAACACTGACTAAAATTAATTTTTTGGGAGGAGTACGCTGTTTAACAGAAGTTGTAATACAAATTCATATCTTTCAACTAACCCACACACACTGATACTAAACTAAGAATTCCACATCTCTTCCCAGTCATACATTCTCTGTACAAATGAATATTTAAGTACACTGTACTGGCTGCTACTTTTTGCTGCTTACACTCATTACCTAATGCAGCTTTTGGTGATGTACTTAGGCAATCAACACTTGGTCCATGTTCTGGTCCTAAAACATAATGAATAACAAGGGTAAGAATATTAGAAGGCTCTTTAGAATGCTTAAAATACCAAAACACAACTCACTATACTCGGGGTACTGTTTGAGGCATATAGCGTAATGTGTTATTTCTATCACAGCTTTACCAGTTAGTAAAAGAGCAGCAGGTATCCAAAGATTCATCGGAAGTCTTTGGAATCAAATTTTAATTTGGATTTCTATTAAACTCTATTAAAGGAACATGCAGTCCCACACATTCCAGCATAACCCTTCTAAAAAGTCCCTCCTCTCCAAAATTCTTGAGTTATTAGCATGGTTAGGTTATTTAACTATTAAAGTAGGATAAAAAGAGCCTAAACAAAGAGACTACCAGAAAAATGCAGCTTCTTGTTAACAAAGAATCAGTCATACCTTCATAGCATTCTGGAATATTTTCTGAAGTTTTCTGCTGTAGAGAAACCGTCTCTGGCTCCGATAACACCCACTCTGTATTCTTTGCCTTGAAAAAAATTACAAAATCAAAAGTGCACACAAGATGGAATACAGCAAACAAATACGAGCACTGAGCCGAAAGACTGCCTAAGCACCACTGATTAGTTAATATTGGATTCTTATGATTACCACTTGTAGGTTTAAAACCTGTTCTCAGAAGGGCAGTTACTAAAGTTACAAGAAATGCCTACCTTTATTAAAAGTGAGCTGGTTTCAAACTGCTCCTGTGAACCTGTATTTCCCTCCCAGAAATTTCAATATGTTTACCATCCAAAAAAATAATATGCATTTTAATTGTGCTTTAATTTATTGTATGCTGGCTATTAACTGTCTTTACTCATAACAGTAATACAGTACAGGAAATCTGGATCATTTATTTACATATTCACCCACAACAAGCTCTTGCACTTCCAATTTTCTAACACTTAATTTGAGATTGTGAGCAGTCCTCCCACTTCCCTCAGACACATCCTCCTCAACAGGCAGGTTTGTGACCTGGTCACAACAATATCGGCTTAGTATTGTTTTTTCCACCAGTGCTGTGCTACTGCCAGTTCACGCTTATTCTTCCCTGAAACCTCAATCTCAAAACTTCCTGAAATCTCTCTCAAAACGTCCCTACCCAAATAATCTCTTGCCCAGAGGTACATGGAGTGCTTGTCTCTAACTTCCTGCCTTTGCAGCTACCCATAAACTTTGCTGTGAAAATTTACTTTATCCTACCCATACATTCTCTTAAGGGGGTTAGTATCAAGTTCCTGCTTCATATCCTCAACCACAAAAATATTTACACCACTTTTCTGCTTAAATTTTTCTTTAGCTTGCCTCAGTTTACACTTTTCGCACTCAACTGCATGCGTTCCTCCAAGTTGCCTTTTGCAAACAGAAATACTCCATTTATTTTTCTGCTATCAGGAGAGATGATCTTCTGGTGAAGACACTAGACTAGAATTCACAATAACTGATTTTTTTGGTCTCTGCAATGAGCATTTCTGAGTAATACAGCAATGTTCCCAGCCTGTAAAATGTAAAACTCTTTCACTGTTTCAGAGATCTTGAAATTTATAAGGCATTCAAATATTGGCTGCAGTAGAAGTTCCTAAATTAAAACAAATAAATAGCAATAGAATAAATAGAATTTCCCTTTAAAATGCACCATTTTTGAAACCTTACAAATACAACAAAAAAGTTACATTTTGAAATGTCACAGCTGAATAACCAAAAGGAAATTATTATTTTTTTCATTTAAATTACAGCTTTTTTCATCCTTAAGCATCTCATATACACTAGAAAGTCACAAAAAAAGTGATGTCATTTTTTCTGTTCTTTGCCCAGGTGCACATATCAGCAACTTGCATAGGTTTTTATTACGTGCTGCTAATGCATGTGCACAACCACAACATCACGACAGGAGAATTAACATGCACGTGAACTGGTGAAGAGTTTTCACAAGGGCTAATCTGATGTATCCAAGCTCTTTGAATTCTTCGCTATCCCAAAATATGCCTCATGATCATACTTGTGGTTTAGATGGTCACAGACTGCAACTGTACTGGAAAGCAATTCTACTAGAACACTTAATATTGTTGCAATATTTAGGAATACTAGGTATAGTAATAACTTATTTGCTCTAAGTTTAAGATCACAATTGCTGAAGTTGTTTTCACCGGTATTTTTCAAATATCAGATTCAAGAGAGTCTCTGAAACATTCATCTGTGAAACACACACCGCATCTATCACCTTGAGGAGGTAGGATCAAATAAACGACAACCAACAGTAGCAATAGCCTTCAGAAAGTTACTTTAACATTTTCAAATAGGATGTAAGTGTTTGGGAGGAAGAAAAAAAGCTTCTGCTTAGCAAATGTTTTAAGAACTGTTAAACTTTACTGATTAAACCCCAAAGTTATCACATAGTATATGTGTTTGTTTAAATCAGAGCACTTCCAAGGAAGGAATAATGAGTCCAAGTGGAATTGTATGCCTACATAAAATATAGTACCATTCCACATTTAGCTACTATTTGGGTCATTCTAAATCACCACCTCAGAAAGTGGTTCATATCCAGGAAGAACTCTGAGACCTGCAGAAGGAAAAGCAGATAAATGTTAACTCACCAACCTACCCTTTCTCTGTAAGGTTTTCTTTCAGGGTTTAATCTTCATCATAGAGCACATAGTTAGCCTAAGTGTTTAGAAAGCTAACAAGAACCCAATAGATGTAATCTATACCTTGGGAGAAACATGGGATGCAAAAAAGTCTTCCTCTTTGTTTTGAGGTGACACAGGTGGCATTCCACATCCGTCTGTCCACAGCTACAATTAAAAGAGAAAGAGAGAATTTTACAAGATAATTGCATGGATATATTTTTTGCAAATACACTAATCTTAAAACTACTTCTTTTTTTCCCAGGTTAAAAACTTACTGATTTTTTTCCTGGTACATAACTTTTCCTTACAAATTTATGCGAGCTTCAATATATGAGATTCCTTTTTTTTTTTAAAATTTCATACATCTTTGATGTGTTCTTTCACGTTTCCCACTCCCTTCCTTACAAAATGCTCAGTATAAGCTCTGCCATAGTAATATTGTCAATATTTAGTATCGCTAGAGCTTTATAATAAGTACGTTTTTTCATATTCTCATATAAGGTATTTTCTCCAAAGCAAAAAAAAAAAACCCTGAAAATGTAACACTAGCAACCACTGGAAACAGTTTTCAGAATGGTATCAGTGTGGTCCGGTACTCTGAAGAATTTTTCCCACCTAGTCTCCGAGTCTCAAAGCCTCTGCTACAGTTAAAGCAGAATTTTCAAGACGCTAACAGCTTTGAGCAATGCCTGATCTCAGGGCAGGCGGGAGGGCCCACAGTGCCGCAGATCATTCTTAGCATCGTGCAGGACAGGGCTATAACCTGTGATCTGCACTCCAAGGTTACTCATAGGCAAACCATTTTCATGGTTCTTTCTACTACGTGCAAAAGATACGTGACCAAAAATAACGACTGCTGTCAAAAAAGGTTACTGAATGTGCAACAAGCTTACCTCATCATTCAACAATCGACTCTATCAGTAAGTTAGAGAAGAAATTTTTTAAAATGTGACAAGGGAGGTGCTGGCTGGTATTACATCTAATTATCTGAATAATTTACTTCAGCAATTTAGATAGCACATAATCACTTAAGCTTGCAGTACATAACTCAAAAATGTATTCACTAAAATTTTTAAATAAGAAATACATAATTAATATCAAATAATTGGATGGAATCTGTAATTGAAGCAAGATCATCACAGTTCTTTGAAGTGTCATTTGGGGAACTTACCATCAACTTAAATGCACATGGTATATTATATTTACCTGAGTATGTTTCACATCTAAACTGTTTAGTAAGTCAAAAGAAATAGTCTCTGAAGTTAGTGAATGATATCATCTATATAATACAGAATTATTATAATCCATTAAATCTCATGCTATTTGATGCATAGATTAGAAAAAAACCCAAGCTTTCTTGCTTTTCTTTTAATTCCCACTCATCTGATCAACTTCAAATGAACCAGTCACAGACTTTAACAAGCTGAATTAAACAATCAAAACACGCTTTCTGTGTATGCAGAAGAGAATTGTTGTCAAACTTATTTAACACCTCAGCAAACTAATTCTGCATACTTTGCTAATAACTTCTTCCTGTCAGCAACCTAACAATGTTTTGACAGCATGCATGAACCATTTCAGCATTTTTAAAGGAGAACAGCAAGTTCAGGACATATCTAACTTGTTCATTTTTCAAATATTATTTTTTCAGGGAAAAAACCAAAAACACACATTTACCTGTTCAAATGAAATCCCACTTTAATCACAAATATTTTGTAGTCAATTCTATTAGCACTTTTACAGTTTTACATGTTGTACTTCTCAATAACAATTCAGTTCCAGACAAAGAAAAACAAAACCTCTATATAGTTCATGGAGTGGTGCTGACATTTTTGTTATGCAATACCTCTAATATAATTTTGGAGCACATCTGCAAACAATGAAGTTTCCATTTTGAATAATACCTGGAGTTTCTGCCTAGAACTCCTATAAATTACTGCAAATGTTAAAATTAATGTTTTGAATAACCCAGAAATGATCCTGAAATACCCAGTTGAACTCTGTCTCAATATTCTTTTTCCAAACAGAAAAGGTAAGCTACAAATAGTTTACTCCCCAGCTTGCCTATTCACTGGAATGTGTATCAGTACCTCCAGAAGACAGATAATGTTTTGCATTACTAATTAGAAACTTAAAATTACTTAAAATGAAAGAAGATAGAGTTGTTCAGAAATCTTAACAAGATAGGACACACGCTACTCACATCAGTACCATGCTTTCTTGTTGCCTGTGTTGCAAGAGATTTAATCTTCTCCTTGTAAAGCTGAGCACCACGACTGTTGTATTTTGCATTGGTATCATTTGTTGTGCATCCATGTTGATGGAAAAAAGCAGACTACGAAGCAGAACACAGAAAATGCAATGAGAAACAGGTTTAAAAACTCATGCCATTTAACATAAAAATATATCGCCATGCAGGAAAATACTCTGCTCCTCTACCTAAACCTAAACTTTTAAATTACAAAGACTATGTAGATCTTCAAAATAAAGAGAACTCCATTCTGGCAACCTCTTTACATATAAATAAAACAACAGAAAAAACAAATTAGTGGAATGTTTTAAAAGCATATACAAATGCAAGCTTGCCATCATATACAAAGAATCCTAGCTTTGAAATTAAGTGTAGAAAGGAAGAGGTCAGATTGATTGCCAATACCTGTGCTTCAAAGGACATTATTAATATTCTAAAAGGCATTGCTTGACTTCATCTCTAGCATGCTAGAGAGAACAATGTATCTTCAATAGTATCAAAATGACTGGATAAAAATGGTCTTCCTTCAAAAGAAAAGTGTGTGTATGCACATACATACATACCCACATATATTTATATGTTTATGTATTTATATAAAAGTATAAATATATAAAT